ATGAATCGACCCAAGACGTGTTCACCAAGGCAACAGAAAATATCGCGACAACGAATCGACGAACTATCACGCCCGAAATCTGCGATAGATCGCCAGGGTGGCAGCAACCAGGTGAAAGATGCGAAGAAATACCGGGTTTGTAAACAGGAAGTTGTGAAAGCCGTCAGACGACAAAGAATTGACGTCAACAGATCGCCAATAAGTACGCCAGTGGATTCGCCGAAACTATCCCGCGTGCAGGAAAAGACGACTAAGATAAACCCAAACTTTTTAGAATTCCTGGTGAACCATGATGATTCAAAAGAAACAGACAATAACAATACATCAACAGGTGTCGTCTGCGCGACGAAATCCAGCCCAACTATCGTTCAATACAATTCACCGAGCCCGAGTTTTGAATTAGCTTTAGACAGTATGCGCGAGGAAATTCAACCAACGAGAGATATGAACCAAAGCATAAACTCAAATTCCATAAGTAATTCCGGTAGAACCTCGCCGACTTCTTCTTGCTCGGTGTCAGACGACACAGAATCTAGAGAATCGACGACCCCGAGAAGAAAATCGATCATGCGAACGCCGCGTGACGGGAAGCGTTCCCCTAACACGCCTCGGAAAAGTATATCGTTCGCAATAGACTTTGAACCCGGTACTTCCAGACACAACAGTCTCGGTGATATCGAATCTTGTGTGAACAACCAAACTATCCAGTCAAATGCAATATCAGAGAAAGAAGAAATTCACCAATTTAAAAATTACTGGACTTGGGAGGAACTGACTAAGAATCTGGACAAATGTCGATATCTTAGGTTACGGGAGGAACATGATAACAATGACGACATTGTCGACATAGAAGATATATTTGAGAAATCTGAGTAATTTCATAATTTATTGCTTTAATATAATATAATATAATTTAATGTCACCTGAAATATTTCCCAATTTAATTTCCATGGTGACCCATTTTATACAATTTTCAGTCGAATCGAAGGATGTTTTAGATCAACTTTTTATTTTAGATGCACTTCCTGTTTGAAAATATATCAAAAACGGGTCGAAGCCTTCAAGCTCTATCCTCGGGGGCGGACGTCCGGGCATTTTCACCGCCTGGCAACCCTCGCGGTGAAAACAAAGGTCAAAAACTCGCAGAAAACGGTACTTTGGGATGGTTGTTGAGAGTCCCCTGAACAGTGTAACAAGATAAGCTCTACGTGTTTTGGTTTGTTTGGTTGTTCAGAATTACTTCAAAGTTGAGTTTGTGTTGTTTCCTCGAATTTCCACCGGCTCGACCGGCGTTCCACAGCAGCGCGCACAGAGCTCATAGAAATGCATCTACGGTGGTGCGCGTCTTAGCAACGTGGGACGTCTTGTGACGTAGTTCCGCCCCGAGGATAAGCTTGTTTTCTGTATCTTCCTAAGAAATGTTTTAAAACTATTTGTAATGCTCTACTCTATGTTGAAGACCAAATTGGTTTATTATAAACTAAAAATGTACTCGCACTAGTATTTTTTCGATGAAAAAAAAACACAACAAATATGCATGTGCAGTTACTGCTAGTGTTTCGTACCAACCAATCAGCGCGCATGTGTATTTGAGAATAGCATCGTTTCATCGAGCAAATAAAAATTGTCAAAGTGGACATAGAGGGCGCTGCAAGAACAATATAGTTTGTGATAAGTTTACAATCAGATGCATGTGTTCTCGTTTGTATTCATAATGTTTCATTGCTTATTTTCTCGTCCTTGCATGATATTTCTACTATTTTGTATCACCACTTTACATCGGAATAAAACGAAATGCAACTGACTTACAGAATACATTTGTGTGTTTCTCCCGGAAAAAGGAAATTGGTTATAAAAGTCTGTCATACCGTTCCACACGAAATTCACATTTAAAAAATGTACCACACATTTCGCTTCTTTAGTACAAAGGATACAATTTCCTGTCCCACATTTGCTCGACCCGGGAAATGTTGACCTTCGAGATATTTAATTTGAAGCCGAAGGAACATAATTTCAAATTGTCCACACATCTTGATCACGTTTTCAAACATTTATAAAAATATTTTGTAGGTTTATTCTGTAAAACTTTTGGGCCACGTTTTCATATCAGATTGCGAAGTAGTGGGTATCAGTGAGCGACATTCCGATCAGACACTCGCCAAACAGCGATTCGTTATCCCTGTATTTTTTCAATTAGATCATGTGACCTATTTTAAACTTGCTTCAATTGTTTTGTAACAATTGTTGGTAACAATTCCAGGCTTGCTGAGACTGAATTGACTGATTACACGTTAGCATCAATGCGCCGCATGGTGGCGCTATGTGACGTTGTAGTAACGTTTTTCAAGAATACTGTCGTCGATTGAGGGCGCAAGACTGCGATAGGGGATTGGGGATGTTGCACTACGTCACTCTTCTCGTTGGTTTCCCAATGTTGTATGGTTCTTAAATGTTCAAAACATGATGCGGTGAGCGCCTTTTTTGCCGAAAAAAGTCATGACCGCCCCATTTTGAATAGACGCACGCGCTGACAAGAAACATACCATTTCTTCCATACCAGTGTAATAGAACCCTGGGTGATAATCTTCGGGGGCGGAGGCCATCGGCGTTCACATTCCCAAGGAACTCGGCGCGCGTCATTCGAACATCATTCTGGCCAATAGCGTGGAAGCAGGTAATCTCAAAACTCCAAAAGCCGCTAGTAAACATTCAGTCAGAAGATGTACTTCTAATGCTTAGTACGTATTCTTTGATTAAGTATACGAGAAATTGTCGTCATTTTATTGCATTTGTATTCTATCGTTTAATTGATAGAAAGGTTGTCCATCCAGGTATTCCAATCGTGATTCGTTACACCCAATTCGCTCGTTCGTTCGTTCGTGATTGGTAATCATATTAAAGGGTGGTAGTCGTCGCACCACGCATGCGCGAGATATAAACAAAGATGGCGACTTTGACTGTTGCGCAAATCAACGAGTACGAACCGAGACGTTACCAAGCTTCCATTAAGTAGCTATCAAAGAGTCACCAGGCGGTAATTAGTGCAAGTCGCGCCCAGGTCAAACTTTATACTTGTGATTTCCATTAGAAGAACGCATTGGATTATGGGTAAATCAATGTTTATCAACATAAATGTCACACATGCGCAGCGCGACGACTGTCGTCCTATAATCACGCGCTGGACCTTATTTATAAATACATAATAATAAGTGGAGTGCAAATAAATGTTCTAAGGTTTTCAACAAGTTTACAATTTGTGTTATTTCTCCTAAAACGCGACAGTGGCCGCAAAACACGCGTTCGATTCTCGTGTACACAAACATTGTATTTCGCGCGTGTTGTATGCGTCGCGTCGGACTCATGTGAACGTGTATTCTTTTTTAGTCGTACTGGATACAACTTTGTATTCATATTGTCTTTTTTTTCTTCTTAGAAATCATCATTACATTAGTTCATTCACACACTGATAATATCAACGCATTCATTTCGTTTTTTTTTTTTTTAAGCGGGAGAGTCGTTACCTTCGCATGCGTCAGATGGCCATAGCGTGTCATTGTTTACAAACAAGCATCTACCCGTGAGCCTTTGCGTTTTAGCGTGTGTTGTTATCATCGCATGGGACTCATTTCCCGCGCGTGCGCAGGTTACGGCCCTCCCGCTTCATTCAACAAAGTTGAACGTGTGTTGTTGTTGACGCCATTCTAAATCAAGAGGCTCATTATTTAATTCTGTATTAAAATTCATTTATTTTATTTACTTATATTTTTTTATGTACAATTTGAATTCAGAAGAATGGGTACGAGGCGAAAAGGGAAAATAAAACTATAAACAGCACGTCAGCGAGTCATTTTCTTATTTTTAAAATCACAGTTAACGATATATTGTTTCATTATCTCAGATTTAAAAAAAAATGTTTACTGTAAACACATTATTTATTCATTAGTTTTTAATTTCGCTATTTTTTTCAATGAGTATAATTCGCTAAAATAGATCTGGATGAACATGTAAATTAACAATTAGAACCAATTGTTTTCTCTACCAAGTTTGTAAAATTAAAACCCAGTGAAATTGTTCAACGCATCAATATAATGAAATTAAATCTTGTTGAATCATAATCGTAAAACCATGTATAAAATGCCCAATCGTTTTACGTAGTATCAGCAAAAATGAGGACACTACATTAAACAACCTTAAAACGGGGGAGTCGCCACGTGCGCATGCGTCAGATGGTCATAGCGTGTCATTTTTTAGAAAAAAAAACAAGCGTCTAACCATGAGCCTTTGCGTTTTTAGCGTGTGATGTTATCGTCGCTTGAACTCAATTCCCGCGCGTGCGCAGGTGACGACCCTCCCCATTCTCCTTCCCAGAGTTCCTTGAGGTTAGATCACCGAAAGTACTAGTATCTCTGCCACTACACTCCGCCATTTTGTGGTGAAACACCACAAGACTTTTACTGCGCCAAATATTTGCGTATTTTTGTTATTAGAGGGATTTTGTGTTGATTTATTCCTACTGATAAACAGGTTTTAAAATATTTCATCTATAAGTGATAATGATTTTTTTGTGAACGCACTGAAAACGGTGAAATAGTTATAATTTACAAAGAAAATAACTCCATTGCGTAATAACCGTTATCAAGGTGTTACTCGGTTCATCAAATTGACCGTCGATTGCCAGGCGAAGAATTACAAACTAACGAAAGCACTTCCTAGTATTGACGACTTAATCGTCCCACTGTCACACCGTTTGTGTTACAGAAAGAAAGAAAAAGCTTCTAACTTTGAAAACAGCGAAAATCTGCAAACAACGCGTACACATTCGTCGGGTTCGAAAATCGAACACTTGCATGGCAATGTTTGGGTGAGCGTCTTTGAAAGTAGTGCCACTGTGACACATTGACCAATCAACGACAAGATCACGTGGTGGCAGAGATATATTCGTAATAGAACTCTGCCTGGGAGATTGGACCCTCCCGTTCTAAATGATTTCTAGAATAACTGTAAGTTAACATACATTTATCTGAATATGTGATTTTCTGAGTACACACAAGCAGTAAAAAAGGGGAAATTCCGATAGAGCAAGTGCATGCTGGAAGTAATAGTCCACGTGGGGCATTACACAGGATGGACACCAGATGAGCTACTGTTGTGACAGGAGAAGAATAACGTCACTGCAAACCTCTTGTGCTGAAATGTTCTATAATATGGATCTTCGGAAACCTACATAGGAAAGATGGCTGAGAATTAATGCGTATTTATTTGTTGTGATTTTCCCGCAAAAAAGTGAGATATAGAACTGCCGTATATATTACGTATGGCGAACTGCAATATTGGTTTCCAGCGCGCGTTATGCAGTGTCTGGTTACGTCACAAAATTAGGCTCGTTCGAGGCTAGTAAACGGCTGTGTTCGGGCACACACGGAAAAGCACCAAACGACTACAAAAGTTCCGCGATTTTTGCGGCAATTGACACAAAGAACCGCCGAGATCCGGACTTGTGTATTTTCTCCCATCACATAAAACAACGCCAACGATTATGAGGTGAATGAATAGAACACTATTTATGGGACAAAAACAATAAGTGTGCAGTGCTTCTCTCGCTCTAAACGAGATCTCGGCGGTCTATTTAAATTATAAATTTCCCTACAAAGTAGTGAAATATTGGGTATATATTTGGCGGATTTAAAAAAAAATGCCATACAATATAACGTAACGCAGAAAAAATATTGCAAAAAACAAAAACAAAATACTGCATTTTTTAGTTATAAACTAAAAATGCATTCACTCGATAAAAAAATAAGTTGATACTTGATTGATATTGTCTATATCAAAACAGTAACCACGCATGCGTGTTTCATCGACCGTATGGTATAGATGTGCACCGGAAAATCGTTTATATAAAGTTCACGATAAGTAATTATTTAACGTGTTCATCAACAATAACAACATATTCTTGCCTATATTGCATATTTATTGTCACTGACATGACATGGCTGCGTTCTACCAATAACAATCCGAGTACATCAGAATTAGTTTGCATATTTAATTTCCACTCACCTTATATTGTTATATTCAACCAATCCCAAACAACGTAAATCAGTATTATTTTGCATATTTAATTTCCACTCACCTTATATAGTTACATTCCACTAATCTCAATTCACGTACATTAATTTTATTTTTCATATTTAATTTCCACTCACTTTATATTGTTATATTCAACCAATCCCAAACCCCGTACATCAAAATATTTTGCACATTTAATTTACACTCACCTTATATGGTTACATTCCACCAATGGCAAACCCCGTACATCAAAATATTTTGCATATTTAATTTATACTCACCTTATGTGGTTATATTCCACTAATCTCAAACCACGTACATTTGTTCTATTTTGCATATTTAATTTACAATCACCTTATATGGTTACATTCAACCATGATTCAACCAATCTCAAACCACGTAAGTCAGTGTTATTGTGCATATTTAATTTCCACTCACCATATATGGTTACATTCTACCAATCCCAAACCACGTACACCAGTATTAGATGTAACAGCAATAATGTATGTTCAGAGCGGCTGTATTATGAAATAAATTATTGAATTAAATATTTGTTTTTATGACGCGGAAAACAACACGCCTAGTCCCGGAACACATATTTGTATGACGTAGAGTACATCATATAATTCTATGACACGAAACACACGTTTGTATGACGTGCAACACATAATTATCAGTCGCTACCTTGTAATCGGGTTTGCCGAGCTCAGAGCAGCAGAGTGATAATCACAAATCACTTTCACGAAAGCCTTATCACATGTACACGTGAAGCCATTCACGGTATCGAGGCAAGTGCCAGTATTGTGACATGGGTTAGAAGCGCACTCATCAATATCCGTATCACAGTGTCGACCAGTGTATCCATCCGCACATACACATTCGTATCCAAAAGGGACGTTCCGGCAGACTGCTCCATTATGGCAATTCGTGTCACTGCCCACGCATTCGTCGATGTCGGTTTCACAACGCGAACCTATAAGACGATGACAATTTACATTAGTATAGTAACTCA